GTTTCTGGGCTCAAGCACACACTGAAGCCAGGTCATGGGGAGCTTCTCATGGACCAGCACCCCTAAGTCCTTCTCCTCAGGGCTGTCCTTCAAACGTGTCTTTTCCAGCCACCAAATCACAAGCAGAGGAGACGCCGCAGCTGATGCGGACACGGAGCGATGTTGGGGGACGGCACCGGGGCAGCGCCCGCACCCCCAGCGAGCAGCGGCGCATCCGCCGGCACCGCTTCTCCATCAACGGGCACTTCTACAACCACAAGGTGAGCCCCAGGCTCCTCAGAGCCTCTCCCCACTGGGGAAATCCAAGGTTCAAATGGACTTTGCATCCCACAGACATCCGTGTTCACACCGGCGTATGGCTCCATCACCAACGTCCGCATAAACAGCACGATGACAACCCCCCAGGTCCTCAAACTGCTGCTCAATAAATTCAAGGTACTTTAGATATCCCACCCCGCTGCTCCTGGGTTGCTCTGCATGAGGAGTTTATAGCCCATGGATACAATATGCCACATCAGAGCGAAATAATGGGGTATATTCTTTAAAGCTGGGGAAATCTCGGGTGGAAATGTGGCCCTTTAATAGTGATTTATGTCTCCATCCAGATTGAAAACTCAGCGGAGGAGTTTGCGCTGTACATTGTCCACACCAGTGGAGGTGAGTGTCCAAACCCCCCCCGGGGCAGCCGTGGCAAAACCCCATCACATACTGGGCTGATAACTGGTGCTTTTGGCATTGCAGAGAAGCAGAAGCTGCGAGGCAGCGATTACCCCCTGATCGCCCGCATCCTGCAGGGCCCCTGCGAGCAGGTCTCCAAGGTCTTCCTCATGGAGAAGGACCAGGTGGAAGAAGTCACCTATGATGTGAGTTTGCCGGCACGGGATGCTCGTGGATGGGCTTGGGATGCAGCTGGGGCTGGAACACTGGGTGGACACAGAATCACAGCCTGGTTTGTGTTGGAAGGGACCTTAAAGCTCACCCAGTTTCAGCCCCTGCTTGTGTTTGCAGTGAAACAGAAAGTTCACCTGAGGTCTCAAATGTTATTCACAAAGAACAAAGTTCTATTTAGCTTTCTGGAGCCATTTATTTCTATTGAAATGAATCTAAAACCTTCACTAAATAAAAGACACGCCATGAATATTAGCCACAAATCACTGTTAGCTGCCTGCTCTTTCCATGCAGTGTTTCTAAAAGGCTTTTTGTGCTCTTTTGCTTTGCTTTGGGCCTGCATCTCCCTGTGAAAACTCCCCATCTTATGGGAAAAACCTTGTCCTGTGCCTAAAAAGCAGCTTTATAGTCTAACCAAGAGCAAACACCGTTTTGCCATTCCAAATCTGAGCACAGAAGAGCAATAGCTGCCCGGCCTTGAGCATAATCCATACCTTTCCCGCTGAGGACCGCTCTGCGGGGTGGGAACGGCTCGATTGTGCCATCTGCCGGCTTCCTCCCACCTTCCTCCTCAAACCAGAGCAAAACGAAGCACTTTTGGAGTATATTTGGGCTTAAACAGGGCTCACCATAAGAAGAAGCCAAGTCTTGCAGCCAGAGGGTAAAGCAAATAAGGTTCGTGGGGATATTTTTTCCCCTATAATTTGCTGGCTGTGAAGGGAAACGTGGTTTCTTTTAGGGTTTGTTGCAAAAGGCAGGGGGGTCCTTGGTTTCCCCAGTTAAATGAGGGAGAGGATGCTGCGAGGTTGCCTTCAGCTTCATGGGGTGGGTGCATCGCCCTCTTCATCGCCTGGTTTGGTGTTTCTCCTCCACCCAGGTAGCTCAGTACATCAAATTTGAGATGCCCATCCTCAGGAGCTTCATCCAGAAGCTGGAGGAAGAGGAGGATCGCGAAGTGAAGAAGCTAATGCGCAAGTACGCCGGGCTTGGTGGCATTGAGAGGAGATGCTGGGAGTTAAGGACATGGTTGGGGGTTATTTCGATGCCGAGGATTCATTTGCACAGCCATGCATCCCTAATCCATGCCTTATTCCAAGGTTTTCTTGGCAGTTCGGGTTAAAACAGCAGCTTGGTGCTGCAAAAATCCTCTTTTCCTTGTCCTTTGCCTCTCCAGATACTCCATCCTCCGGCTGATGATTGAGCAAAGGCTGGAGGAGATTTCCGAAGGCCCGACGGCGATGTGAAATGCTTCACCAGCTCCAGGTTGCATCACATGAAGAGCCGTTTACCTGCAGGATGTACTGTACCAAATCCCAACCCCATGTCATTCCCGGAGCGCTCCCAGTGTCTTCCTGGATCACTCCAGCTCTGAGCCAACCCATCCTCCCGTGCCTTCATCTTCGCAGCATCCTCGAGGGGTTCCTCACCTGCAGATGGGAGTTTTCCCAGCAAGGCTCTGGGCATCTTCAGCCAAAACCTCAAATCCCTGCAAATAACAGGGGGAAAAGAAAGAAAGAGGAAATCCATGAGCAGGATGAAGCCGCTGAGGATGGGGACAAGCAATTCTGGGCTCTGTTTGAAGATCCTGGCTTCAGGAGTGCCCGCATGGGGCTCCCTGCATAGGACCCAACCCTTGGTGGCAAGAGCACAAATAATTCCTCTTTTTTTCCCCTAAAAAAGCACATTTCTATTGCAATAATTAGCAGGTGACAGGAAGCTTTTGTAAATCGAGTGGATTTTGACACTTTTGCTGCCTAAAACAAACCTGGGGACTGAGGGTTGGATTTACAGCAAAAGAGTAAATCACGTTTTTCCCAGCACATTCCCTTAACCTGCATCTGGTCTCATAACCCCCATCCTGCTCCTTTCTAATTTGCACTAATGTTAGGGAAACAAAAGCAAACCACGATGTCAAACCTCTCTGGTAGCTGTAACATGCCAAATAGTGCTCGGAGGAATAGTGGGTGGCGATGAGCATCTCCTGAGGGATGCATGGAAAGCAGGAGGGAGGCAGGAGGAGGAGAGGCAGAAATAGAGGGGTTTATTCTCCACATGGGTTTAGCGGCAGTGCCAGCACATTGTCCTAGGCTCACCAGGACCAGGACTGGCTTTGTTACCACCATCACACCTGGAAAAACCTCTTTCCTCCTGGGCTAAACCAGCAATATCCATTTTATACCTCGATGTGAACTAAAACTCGTGACTTTCTCCCTCCTTTTGAGTTTTTGCAATGTATCTTTGTAAGTTTTGGGGTCTAATTATAATGGTACCTTCTCCACCTTTAACACGTTGTGAGGGAAAGGATTGTACAGCGAGAAAAGCTTTTTGTGTGTGTGAAGGATGACTGTGGCATCGCTTCGCTGGGTAACAAGGACACAAAACATGTAGCAACTTAATACAGAATGAACTCCCTCCCCAAGTTAGAGCCTGGTTTGTTCAAACTAAAGCACTTTGCAGATAGAAACGTGACTGAAATGGGCTCCACGGGGGCCAGGAGCAACAAGGGAGAAGAGCAAAACCTGCCTGAATCCCAGTGGAGTTTCCCAAGGAGAAATGTTCCCTTTTTGGAGACTCACAACCAAATTGCTGGAGGATTTTGTGGAGGAGTATTGGGCTGTTGTGGGGTTTAGAGACTATATAGCCCCATGCACCATGGTTGGTGAGCTCCATCCGCTGGTTATTCCTCTCCCAGAAGGTAAAACTCACCTCTAGAAGGAAACCTCTGCACTGTTGAGCCTTGTTTCAAACACGCTGGGGGTTTTAAAGCTGATATATGAAGGGGTTTTGCCCCCTCAAGGCTGATCTCTGCATCCCCAAGGTTATCCCCAACCACACTTTGCTCTCTCCCCAGCGTTATCCAGCCCATTGAAGCCCGTTATCCCTCCCCGTGCAGGAGGGGGATTCGAGTGACGTTGGCTCCGCTTATCAAAGCTTTATCCACCGGGAAAAGTGAGTTGAGCTCAGCAGGCACGGACGTGAAGAGCTGCACGGGGTGCACAGGTAAGGGCAGCTTCCTTGGCATGGAGCTGAGGGATGAAAGGAGAAGGAATCGGGCAGACAGCAAGGTGGAAAGTGGAGGGGTTTGGCATACACTGGAGCTGGAGGTTGGGATGGGGAGAGCAGCCTGTGGAGGCACCGCAGCCTGTGGCCGCTTCAGCAACAGGCTTTTCCCTGGGTTGTGATCCAGAAGTTTGGATGCTGTAGGGGAAATAAAGAGGGGAAAAACCAGGAAGGAAAACAAATCCTCATGTCTTAATTTGTGCAGAATTTGCTGCCCAGGTTTGTGGCGTTCCAGAGGCGGTGATGCAGCTGCAAACAGCTGGAAGGGGGATGCAAGCTTCTCCTGGCTTTCCTTAAATAATAAACCATGTTAACTGGAGAATCAGGGCAGCAAAATGAGGCAAATTAATTAATCAAGGCCGATTTTTATGTTTTCAAAGTGCTGGATTTCAAAGGGAGGGGGTGCCAGGCCTGGCACCTTCTAGTGGGGGCTGCGGGAGGGAAACGCTGACACAGGGAAGCTGCAGCCAGGGGGGCTCTGCTTGTTCAAAAGGCTTTTGTCAACACAGCTCCTGCTATTTTGGGGATGGTTTTGGGGCCTCGATGGCTCAGCAGCTTTGGTACAATGAGCCTGTTTGCTGAGCTGCTGGCTGGGGGGGCTGCAGCGTGGGGGACGAGGCAGGGGGGAATCACATCATGGTGCTCCAGTGCTTTGCAGAGGGGTGGAAAAATGAAGGTGCAACTTTGCTCGGGAATGGTTTGTGTCAGAGGGGA